ATCTATCTATCTATCTATCTATCTATCTATCTATCTATCTATCTATCTATCCATCTATCTATTCATCTATCTATCTATTCATCTATCTATCTATTCATCTATCTATATATCTATCTATCTATTCATCTATCATCTATCTATCTATCATCGATCTATCTATTCATCTATCATCTATCTATCTATTCATCTATCAATCTATCTATCTATTCATTTATCTATCTATCTATCTATTCATCTATCTATCTATATCTATCTATCTATCTATCTATTCATCTATTTATCTATCTATCTATCTATCCATCTATCTATCTATCTATCTATCTATCTATCTATCTATCTATCTATCATCTATCTATCTATCATCTCTCTCATCTATCTATCATCTCTCTCATCTATCTATCTATCTATCTATCATCTGTCATCTATCTACCTACCTACCTACCTACCTACCTACCTACCTACCTACCTACCTACCTACCTACCTACCTATCTATCTATCTTTGTGACCCAGTCACAATATAGACTCCCTTAACTGACATCTGTGGATATCTTCTTAGGAAATTTGACCCCCTTTTAATCCTGGTTAGTTATGATTTCCAAAGGGTCCGGAAGCAGCAACAGGAATTCTCATATTTGGCTCTGGGGCTTTACTGAAACATTTTAATTTTACATTTTATTGTAGATTCTTACAAAGTTGTGTTTCTTTGTTTTAAAACGCCGTTCGATGCAGTCCCTCTAAGGTCCCGTTTTTCAAACATTGCATTTTGAAGATTTGTAGGCTTCAGCTTCCAAAATTATGCCCAGCCAACATGCCGGTTTAGCTGTTGGACAAAACAATGCCAACGTGTTATTGCTGCTTTTCATGAGGACTGACGCCTTCCTTCCTTCCTTTGGCAGCCTGGGTTCATTGTAGCGTCTGCGATCGGTGTGCTCTCCCCACTCACCCGTGCGAGGAAGCTCAGGCTGGCTGCTTCGTTTGTGGCGAAGCCGATCACAAACGCACCGCGTGTCCCAATCGGCCGAGGACCGGCAGAGTTGACCGGTAAGTTGGTGGTGGGAATCTGATCATTGCCGGCTGATCTGGCAAAATGAGACCGGCTCTTTTGAGCTCTTCCTTGTTGGGTCCTTGGTGGATGCCGAGCTTGGTGGTTTTCTTGCAGACGTTTCCTGACCCAACTAGGTAACATCATCAGTGCTAGAAGGGAGGAGGATTTGTAGAGAAGGGGGCAGGAGGAGAACTGTGAGGTCCTTGGGGCTCTCTTAGTTGTGTTGTTTCCTTGCAGATTCTTCTTGACCAAACTACATAACATTGTGAGTGCTACATGCTGCCTTAGATACCTGCACCAAATCCCACACCCTTCTAGCGCTGATGACGTTGCTTAGTTTGGTCATGAAATGCCTGCAAGAAAACAGCCCAACTCAGAAAGCACCAAGGACCCCCACAGTCATTCTCCTCCTCCTCCTCTCTGCAAACCCCACCTCCTTCTAGCACTGATGACGTTCCCTAGTTGGGTCATGAAACGTCTGCAAGAAAACTACCAAGCTCAGAGAGCACCAAGGACNGGATGAGTTAAATCCTGAGGCTTGGTTGAACATGGCGCTTGTATCCTTCCAGAAGGTGATGGGTAGAAAATAGGAGACAGATACACTTTTCCTTCCAATTCACTGGAAGTTTTCTCAGTCTCCCTTTTGCTAACTAAAGGTAAAGGTTCCCCTCATGCATATGTGCCAGTCGTTCCCAACTCTAGGGGGCGGTGCTCATCTCCGTTTCAAAGCCAAAGAGCCAGCGCTGTCCGAAGACGTCTCCGTGGTCATGTGGCCAGCATGACTCAACGCTGAGGGTGCACGGGATGTTGTTCCCTTCCCACCAAAGGCGGCTCCTATTTTTCTACTTGCATTTTTTACGTGCTTTCGAACTGCTAGGTTGGCAGAAGCTGGGACAAGTCACGGGAGCTCCCTCCGTTACGCGGAGCTGGGGATTCGAACCTCTGAACTCCCGACCTTTCAGATCGACGAGCTCAGCGTCTTAGCCACGTAGCCACTGCGTCCCCCTTTCGTTAACCACTCCTGCTTTTATTTTATTTCTATTTTTTAGGTTGATTATGACAATCACCCGCTATATAAGCACGGGAAGAGAGGCCGTAAACAGTCTCCCGTTCATATTTTTACTAACCTGTCGCCAGGTTCAATAGTTCTTCCTGCAGAAGAAGGATACAGGTAAAAAAAAACCACTGTTCAGCAGAACAAATTATTTGTTGAAAAAAAGATTAACCACAAAACCCACTGACGTGGTTTACCGCCAATGGGCCCCAACCATGGAGAGAGGTTTTTTTCCCGTGAACCAGAAAGGGCCTGTTTTCACACGCTGCCTGCATCCCGTGGATGTAGCTTCGCTTGTTTGTGCAGACCGGGTTCTGGCATCCCACGGCTCGGTACCGGACCACGGACCACGGGTTGGGGGAGCCCTGACTGATGGACCCTCTGTTTAATCAGGACTGGCTGCATCCTTTCCTCAAAACCTTCTCATCGGTTTCTCTCCGTCAGGTTTTGCCCTGTCTGTCAGCGATACGTCAGTGCCGAGAACCAGCACTGTGACCTCTGCAATTCCTGTACTTCAAAAGTAAGTCTGTCCTTGAGAATGTTGTGGCCCGCCAGCAGAGTCGGACAGTGGGGAGGGTTGGGGAGGAAGATGGGCCAGTCCTGGAGTCTGGGGAAGGCTCTGAGGAGGGCTCTG